TAAATTTCTTTAACGTTAACTATTGGAGCTAAATTGCCCGTATAACACCATCGCTCTCCTAAACAATAGTAACAATACTAATACGTACGTACGTACGACGTGGTTATTGCGAAAATGCCGTGAAACATTGTACGATTCACGTGTGCACGATGTGCTTGTACCGCATATAATTTATTAGGTAAGCATATACGTATATTTGCTTTGCTAGTAAATTTTCGGCCGGAGTTTAACATTTTAATTTTTTACATCTGTTTTCATAATTCCTAGGAGACTTGATAAAAATAAGCCGAATGATTTTTCAGCCGATCCGGTTAAGTTATTAATTCGGTATACGTAATTTAATATTAGGTGACTAATATACAGTAAGATTATGCATATCTCTTGTTGAATTCAAAAAATATGATACTTTCAAAGCACATTCGCTGGCAAATTGTTGAGAAAATTCAAAAGTTCTATTATTCGAAAAATTGCAAAACACTCAGGTGTTAGCAGGTGCATTTTCAAAGATATTACTGTATCGATCGCTTCAAAAAATCACGTTCTCTAAACATGAACAATATAAAATATCTTAAAACTTTATGAATTACAATCCGAGATTGGACATAACATTAGTCTTATAACAATTTGGAGAGTTATATACCGACTTGGATATACTCACAAAAAGGTAATATATACATTTTTTTATTTTATAATATAGATCTCAAAATCTGCAATAGAAAGAAATGAAGTTGATAAAAACATTTTATATTACGAATGTCTCAGTATGCACCAAGTCAGTTTTTCATATAAAAATACTTATGACAGAAGAACACTATTACGATGTTATGGCTGGAGTTTGTCAGGATTGCCTATTCAAAAATATATATTTGTTTGAGAAAGATGATTCACCATAGAAGGTGCCTTATCCAAGTAGGTTCTATGAATTCTATTGATTATGAAAATTTCATTAAACATGTTTTAGCAACGTAAATATAATACCGTAATTTTCGGCAAATAGTACCCACTTGTTGAAGTACCCGCCCACCGTCAATTGAGCGTCAATTTAATCAAAATATATAGTCAATTGGCGGTCCCAGGGTACTAATCAATTTTTAAGGCCTAGGAATGTAAGAGACACGGGGTACTAAATATCAATTAAAACACGGGTGTATACCGATCATGCCGAAACCTATAACTTAATCAGATTGGCCGAAAATCAGCTATGAAAACAGCTGTAATAACAAATAGAAATTTTGGGAAATCGGCCTGCCCTATGATAAAAGTAGCTAGGAATATTTTCATTCAAGTCGACGTAGGTCGACAGATCGAAAAGATGCTAAGCAGGGGAACGTACCCCTGAAACCAGTGATAGAGACAGGACCGAACTTGTTCTATCAAGTTCAGAGCTGAATCATGCAACTAACTTCAGGTGAGTATGATTTCAATATCTTGCCATAAACAGTAACCGCTAACTCGATAAGAATCGCCGTGAGAATAAAAGCAATTAATGAGAAGCGCTACATGGCTTACGCAAACTCAGTTGCAGCAGACTACAATTCGTGACCCAGGCCCTCCCTCCCAAGAAAACAGGGCATTCTCATAAATATAACTGATTGATAGCTCATACTAGCGGACGGCCTGCATTATACAGGCGGGAAACCCCTGTCAGCGCTTAACCACACAAACAACTGCCGGGAAGATTGAAGAACAAGCACCCGATAATCACATCACCTGATTAAGTGATCGGCCTACGTTAGGGTTAGTGTTAGGGTTAGGTGAGGCGATAGGTTGGTTTAGGCTAAATTGTTTAGTGCTAGTAAAAAAATGACGTAATTGCATGATTCATGTGATGTGATGATCACTGGGGTACTTACCTACGGTGATCTCTCGGCGCAATATTGTTTGCTATTTCCGGGAGCACATCCCGCTTCAGTTTTAACAATTACATAAATCACTGAGAAGTTAGCATAATAGCGACTTCTTACAGATAGATTATTACCATGCTAGCTTCTCTAAAACCAGAATTGATTTAGATTATTTTTAATGGTGACTTTTTATATGTTTCTTTTTTGTTTATTCTTAGTTTTATTTTTTTTAAAAAGTGCTTTAAAATGTATAAATAATGTAAAATTAAATTGAATTTATTAGCCAATCAGAAGAACTTCTGTCTATGAGCGTGCAATGCTTTTCGTTTAATGGAAGACTGTTGTTTCATTAGTTAATTTGTTGATCTCCGGCTAAATTTTTGATAATCGTTTTTAGCCGATCACAATTGAAAAACCAGCCATGACAATTTTTATGTGGCAGCCAGGTTTATAGAAAAAAATCCGCAGTTGCGAAATTCCGGAAAAACTGTATTTATATTAAAATAAGGATCAAAAATGTATTAGCTGATCTTTGAAATTTGCACTTTTATTCGTACCCTAAAATCTATTGAAAGTACAAATCTGCAAAAAATACATCCAAGTTAGGTAACAATGACAAATTATTTTAATATAAGCGGAAAAAAAAATTATGCTTAGTTAAATAAATTATGGCACAATTCACAAAAATTCAACAACTTTTACAACAGCTCGAGATAAGCTTTGATGCAAATAACTTTCATGCTTTATTCTCTCATATTGTTCGCAACCACGAAAACTTTGATAAAGATGATTGGAAAAGTTTAATTCAATTTAACGAAAATTGGGAAGCCCTTGGTTTCAAAAAAGCTAAAGAAATTTATTCTTCTATGAATAAAAATAAAGGGCTCCAGAATACCAAGTTATCTACTAAAGGTTTTTCTAATGAATCCGAAAAGAAGCAAGCAAAACTGCATCCTCAATACAAGCATAATGAGATGAATCATTCTAATTCAATAAGTCAATGGGAATCCGAAAAAAAGCAAGCAAAACCACGTATCCAATACAAGCATAATGAGATGAATCATTCTAATGCAATATGCCTATGGGAATCCGAAAAAAAGCAAGCAAAACCACATCCTCAATATAAAGATAATGAGATGAATCATTCTAATTCTATAAGTCAATGGGAATTTGAAAAAAAGCATGCAAAACCACGTATCCAATACAAGCACAATGAGATGAATCATTCTAATTCAATTAGTCAATGGGAATCCGAAAAGAAGCAAGCAAAACCACATCTCCAATACAAGCATAATGAGATGAATCATTCTAATTCAATTAGTCAATGGGAATCCGAAAAGAAGCAAGCAAAACCACGTCTCCAATACAAGCATAATGAGATGAATCATTCTAATTCAATAAGTCAATGGAAATGTCATGATTGTGGTTTCTATCCAAACCGTGTATGGCGTGTCAGGTGCTATAAGTGTAATGTATTCAGGTCAGACCTAAACATTGAAACCTTTGATCCTTATAAAATGCCGTCTATGGCAATAAGTGAAAATGATAAATATCTTTTGCGAACTGAAATCATCCGGGCGAAGGGTGATAAAGCAGAAGAAGAAGTCAAAAGGCTAGGTTATAAATATCTTGATTGGCAAAATTACTGGAAAAAAATTCCCAATGAAGTGGTAAATTGCAAAAAACTTGATCATAAAGCACAGGAAAGTTTGTACAGTGAAACTAGACATAAAAGTCTTGCATGGTGTGATACTTGTAAATATTACTATCATTTTGATTGGAGCGTAAGTATTATTTGTATAGATATATTTTGCGATAATTTTCGAAAATATGTATGGCTAACAGGACTTTAAATTCATGTTACTTTAGGGTTATGATTAACAGGACTTAAACTTATCTTTTTCATTGCATTAGGGTTAGGATAAGTTGTAGGAATAGCTTTATGAATTATGTATACGTAGTATCTTGATTTTGTACTGCAAAGCGCATTTTATAACATGCTTGGGTTTATATTCGTAAATATTGGGTTATGCTTGTTTTCTGACAAAATATTTAGTTTTCACATTCTATAAATATATGCTATTTTATAAACGTATGAAATATAATTTTTTTCTTCATTCACTAATGTATACAAGTTTTCTTTTTTGCTTATAATAATGAATCAAATTTTATTTACGAAGGATCTCATAAAACTGGCAAACAAACTATTTTCTATGAGTGTAAATGCCTTTAGGTGTTCTTTAGTTGCATTAGGGTAGCTGCGCGACATAGTCGCGCTAAAACCAGAGCTGTAATAAGTTTAAAGTATCATATCGGCGATTTTGCAGAATTGTGACTAAATAAATTTTAACAATGTGATTATAAAACAGACCCAAATTTTTAGCTATTCCGCAGATATGCTTTAATTTTCGAATCTGAAAGGTGTTTGAATTAATGCATAATGAGAATTCTGATTACCGCTCATATTATAGTGTACATTATTCAATCTTATAAAAATTTTTTTAGCACTTGTAAAAATATGAAGTATCCGTAAATCAACTTTGATTTTTATTTCAACTAAAATCGTATTTCTAATTTACCCTGGAATCCTCAATAGTTAATAGCTTGAATATATTAAAAAATCGATTGAATCTTGAAAAAAGAAGCGTAACCACAAACATAACTAATCCAATGCAATGCAGTAAATTGATAATATGATTGAGAGATAGTTACTAAAGGGTTCTTAAGCATCTCTTTCGGTAGATTAGAGGCAAAATTTTAATTAGACGATAATTGAATAAATTGACAAAGCAAGTCATATCTCGATTAATGTCAAATTCCATTAAGAAAGCTACTTGAACTGTTTGAAAACTCACTAAATATATTCATTATCATTTCTTTCTCGAATAATAAGCATATTTAGATCATAAATATTACACGTTTTAAATAAAATTAAATCAGACAAAACTAATTAATAATACTATACGTTCTGAAATTGCCGTTGATATTAACCTAATTTTCCTGAAGAGTAAGTGAAATATTAAAAATTCCGAAGGTTATATTGGTTTATATTCGCAATTTTATCTAACCACATCACGTAACTATTAATTCATTCGTACACAAAACCTTGATTCTGATTGATAAAATTACATATATCTGATGTCGTAATTATAAAGAACGTTGCCTCACTACTAAGAGTTTTCTGGATTTATCATATCTGATATATCTTTATACGTGCGTAAGTACGTACGGGCATAGCAATAGTCATGATCTGATATCTTCTACGTGAACTGGGCTCATTCTCATATAATTTTTCACAAATTACAATCTTCCTTTAAAAACAATGATGTTTAATTGCTGAAAAACATATATAAAAAATATATTTATCGATTTATTAATAAAACTAGCAACTTTAGCATTGGAATTCGTCGTTCACAAGTCAAAGGAAAGTCTTACAATTATCTTAGCGCAAACAATATATCTAGCTATTTGTACCAATTTGTTAAAATGGTGCTATTTTTTATGCTACGAATAGCTGGACACCATGCTTGCCCTCTAATTAAATAACCAGGGTCCTATAACTCAAAAACGTGCCAAGTAATTGAAATTATCCGACAAACTCATATGATCATGAAAAACTTTCTTTCTGTTATTTTTTTTTCATGTGTTACGATGTAATTATGTTTTTCCAATATTCAAAAAAAAAAAAACTCAGCGAGTGACTCCCTACCAATCATGATCATAAATTGTCGGATAACACCATTATTGGGCAAATTTGTGAATAACGGCAATTTGGCTCAACCGGACAAATGATTGGCTGACAAGTGCTGCTTCGCGGCACTTGACAGCCAATATCATTTGTCCGGTTGAGCCAAATTGCCGTTATTCACAAATTTTGCCCAATAATGTATACTTAGAGGCTCTAAGTAAAAATGTTCAGAATTGAACCTTCATATTAAGTTTTTATTATATTATATAACCCTCTATATTAAAATTGCTAAAAAATTAGAGGTAGTTAACATCATCACTGGTTAAAATTATAAAATTAGCTATTTTCATAAATTTATCATGTTTTTTTTTTTTTTTTTTAGTTATCATAATCAGATAAACCACTGATAAAGATTAATTAAAATGCAATCTTTAGAATTTTAATGATTTCTACTCTTCTAGTTAACTATATTTGGTAATTTGTCAGATTCGACCAGAGCTACCCTTAAGATAATCTGGACCCTTTTTTCTTCTTAGAATTTAAAATCTTAGATACGTAGTATTTAGCAAATGTATTGTGAAAGTTGTTCTTGCTATAAAAATAATACACTTTATACTAGTCATTGTGGTTGTGTATTAGGAAGTGAATGTAAATCGTAGCATTATGATATTAAATGCATATCAATTTATTTTTTGCTCTTTGTCTTGGTCTTTGTCTTGATCTTACTCATTAGTAAGCGAAAAAAAGAACGGACGAATAGTTTAAATGCTAAATATATTAGTCAATAATAGGAAAAATTATTGTCTCTGTACAAATTCATCTAAATTTTTCTGATTTTTGCCAATGATCTGCTAACCAATGAAGTCAGTGTATACATGGGCTTTTGCCTTGAAAATGACCTTATGGGACATTGTAATTTCTGTACTATGTCCCATAAAGTCACTTTCAAGGCAAAAACCCATATTAGTCTAAAACAATTTGATCACATTTTTTGTACGATCAATCAAATGTGCTAAAGTATACACATGTATAAATAAGCAAGTTACATTAAGAATGTCATCACAATTCAAATTCATTAACAAAATTTTTTTATGATAGAATTCACTACTCAACCAAATGTTAATTGTCATGATATCAAGTTTGTACTAAAATTTTTTGACAGTAAATCATGATAAATCACCACTGTTAATTCCGATATAAACTAACTAAATCACATATCTTGTCACCACAAAGTCGGTAAATTTCGTAACTTTTTTTACAGTAAACCATGGCAACTGTTCAAAAACATACTGCGTGTCATCGCAATAGCTAGTAAGTTTTGCAATAGCAGAAGCACTTTGCATAATACTACTCCAAATTCTTTAACAATTATCTATATGGTTGATTCCGAGAAGGAAAAACCTTGGCAAGGGCTCTTTTGCATAAACACTGCTCTGACTTCTTAAATATTTTATATACAGTAACCCATACGAAATGACGTAAAGTGTCGTAATATTACTTTGCCAAATTAAAATGGGAAAGCCTCGTATAACAATAAGGTTTCGATCACGTTATGATCAAAAAAATTACAAAATTAGTTTATTATTATTGTGTGAGTAACGTACTGAATTTATATGCTTTTTTTTTGAACATAACATCTCACTAAAAAAATCACCATAAAAACATTTCTAACTTTAAACGAAAGATAATATTCATTTTACAAATAATCAACAAACCTGGCATGCTTACAAAAGTCAGAATCTATTTAATTGTTATAATACAAGTACCGGTAATATGAGAGCTGATAATTTGATAGAATATTTTAAAAAGGATCAATAGTGCTTGTTCTTCAGCATTCAAAGTTAAAAGATAACAGTGGTCGACAATCATTTGATAAACATACTGTTACCTGGAAATTGCCTCCCGATATCCATATGACCGTTGTACGTACTACCACGGGATCTTCAGGGATACTATGAACTTACCCCTGTTATTTAGCGAGTGTGATTCACTTATCAACAACTCGAAGAAGTCACGGGCTAATGCGCAACACGGATCGTCCTGAACCGCCAAACCGTTGATCTTTAAGGATCAAAGGGCGATTGCCTTACTAATATTCGTATTGCCCCCTTATCTGTATTATCATACACAGGGCCCCATTTTCCCAAATTGTTAAACCATACACATCGCTTTTAGTTACCATATCGGTCCCGATATTGGTGATGTGAAGCGTAGGGACAACACATGCCACAACATTAATGGTAGTCAGTGTTTAAAATTTGATGTTCTCAGTGTTCTCAGAGAACATTTAACAATTTTTATGAACATGAATTACTTGAAAATGTTCTCTATTTGAGAACATTTAACAAAATTTTTTAATATTAAAAAATTTTTGATTTTCTAATACTGAGAACATTAAAAAATTTTTGAGAACATTACTGCATTGATGATCATAACACCAAATTGGCCTCATTGCTGCCGCTATTTAGATGAAAAGCTCTATTCCACCTGTGTCATCCATGTGGATAAACAAGAAATGAACAAACTTAGGGCTTTACACGAAATTATTATCAAGATTGTGACGGATCAAAGCCTGTTGAGGACAAAGAGCCAAAGCATGCACATGTAATAGTGAAGGGATTGGTGTTGATAAGAATAGTAGATGAGTCATAAATAGATCGATCGATAGATAGCAATAGTAACGTAGTCATCTATTGTAATTAATAATATGACTGTGTTAGATATTTAAAGGCAGTGAATTCGCCTTAACTTAGTTTCTTCAGACTTTGGTTCCCCTTTAATATTTATATAACTTCATATAAATCTCTTAATAGCCTCTTCGAATTCTCCACTGTATTTCATATAACTGTCTTCATACAGTTATTATTAATAAACTCGTACGTGTCTCCATACACGTTAAAATTCATAAGTCCGTGTTCATGTGTGACTCATGATTCCCGGTTGTTATATTGATTACATGTGACTCGTGATTTCTTTAGTTATTTTCAGCCCTATGTATCTTCATATACATTTGGTTGTTGCCTCTTTCATCCAAGCCTTAATAAACCTCTTGTTAAGTCGTTCATCTGATGCTTCTTTAGCCTCACCAAATCACTAAACCAATAGTCGAAGATAGACTAACCCATAGTTCCTAGAAGTTGTATTAGAGGTCAACTTCATGTATAACAATACCATGATGTTATTTGTTTACCAG